TACTTCCCGGTTCCTTTGTGGTTGAGTGAAACCATGTGACAAATTCGGCCAATGATTTGTGCCGGAGCATTTGATGCTACTTAGGACCCTTTGGGGATTTCTTTCCCTCTTTCGTAAAACCTGCTTGGGCCCTTCCTGGAGTGAAGATACCACGGAGCCACGGAGCAGAGCTGTTACCAACCCACAATGGGCACAAACGTGAAAGAAAAACAAAACCAACTGTCGGCGGGAATCGCTGAGGTTTAGGCTTATTTGTCACGCGGCATAACTCAGCTTCCTGCGGTCGATGCGCCTCGGGACCTGGCTGGGTGCTCGGTGCAGAGCAGTGCTCTATATATCGTGGTATAAATGGATACAGGATTTGTAACCAACAAGGCAGCGGTGGAGAGGGAGGAGAAGAACCATAGATAGCGCTAAGTTGGAGGACAAAAGGTCTGTTAGATCATTAGCCAAGCTGGGAAACAGGAAGAGAACGGGGAGGCAAGAAAGAATTTGGTTCAGGGAGTGTTGACTGTGAAGTTCTGGTGGGGTCGCTGTCGGGACACGGCTGGTAGGAAGGTGCAAATGTAGGACTGATCAGTTCTCTAAGATTGTCAGAGTTAGACAGAAAAAATATGGACTCCTTAACTTCAGTGACAGTTAAATTATGAGAATAGAGTCAATGACCCATGGAGATAGTAAAGAATTTGAAAAGAGGATAAGGGAAGAGTCCTGGAAGTGCCTGCACATAAGGCTGGGAGCAGAGGGGGAGGGGACAACAGACGGGAAAGAACAAGAGGACAATGGGAGCTAAGAATGGAAGGATTTTGAAAGCAAATATCTGTGAATAGTGTGCCATGCTGAAACTAAATAGAATAGGGAGGGCACTAGGAAGAGGCGAAGGAATTTTACAGCCTGAGGTCCATGGTGACTTCTGAGAGAGGGACATGGATCTCATGATGGATATCACTGTAAATACGGATGCCCAAGTTAGCTGCTGTTTGCCCCACTCCATGCCATAGCCCTTGTTTGCCTCTTGGATTCCCGAATACTTCTGGTGTCCCGAAGCCCCGCCTCGTCCTCAGCCCTCCACAGCTTTGTCAGAGGGGTCCGGGGCAGGCTGGGAGGCAAACACACACCTACTGCCTGGGACCTTCCTGGCCTCACAGAGACTTGTTTAATTCCAAGTTGTGGGCTGCACTGTGGAGACTTTCGCTGCCCAAAGTCTTCTTCTAGATAAGAAGGGCTCTGGTATGTTCTCATTTGCTCATGTTGCAATGTTTATGGAGCACCTACTATGTGCAGAAACTGGATAACACGTGGATCACAGCTTATTGACATGACTTTTTATGCCTTCTGATTTTTATTCTTCATTAATGAGAAGTCTACACTACCCGACTTTACATTTCTAAGCTCTGTGTAAATGAGCTTAGCATTGTGAAGTAGACACTTTCTGTATCCCAGTGCTTACTCAATGTGTGTGTGTGTATATATGTAATTCTTCACAGGATGCTTTTATGTATGGAGAAATGTCAGAAAGAAAACGCAGCTTGGCCACCTTCTACCTGGGACCTTAACAGGTTATCTCATTGCTTTGCATTTTCATTGGTTATAATAGTTTGTGAACTGATAGGTCAAATCATTATATGTTAACATTAATAGCCAGAATCCACAATTTATGTGGATGAGATTCCTTATCAAATGAAGTTTGAGATTTTGCCGTTGGAATCTCTGATCGGGGAGGCTGACGTCTCACGGCACGTGCAGGACCCTTGCGGTGAGGGGAGCGTCTACTCAGCACCGTCTTCAGACCATCCTCTTCAGGTTCGTTTTCACCTGATTTAACCTGTCTGTTCATAAGCAAAGTTTCAAATTCTAATGTCTTTTACTAAGCTGACCTGAGATAACACTGTGGAATTAACACCTATTATTAGACAGTATATCTTACACGTTAGAGAAAAAAGCTTTTGCCTTTTAACAAGGTCCTTTTGCAAGGAAGGGAGAGGAATTGGGGGGTCCTGAGAGGATCCTGGCATCGGCGGGGTTAGCCGAGGGAGTCCTAAAAAAAAAGATCAAATAGCAGGGCATAGCGTGTCCCGATTTATCCTCCCATGTTCTACATTCGACTATGAAGTCATTTCAAAGGGAAAAAAAATCACATTTATGAACGAGGAGCATGCACAGAGCCAGGACTGCCCTCTGGTGTTCACTCTGATGCATAGGCAGGGTTGCAGGAGCCGCAGAAAACGGGACAGCATCCAGTTTTCTGACTTTAGGTTAAATTACAGAAACTGAAGATGAAAACAAAATCTCCCTTTCCAGTAATTTATAGTTTCTTGTTTATTCCATATTAAAATGGAATAATATACGGGATTTACACGTACTCACCTCTGAAGATGAATATATTTATTCTCTCTGATCTTGACTCATAATGGTACTATTTTATGTAAAAAATAGGTCTGATGGTCTTAAAGGATGTTGGAAATAGAGGAGTGTGGCTACCGAGATGGGATACAACGGATTCGAGTTCACTCTAGTGAGGACAGCTCTGGGGTTCTGGGCTCTCCTTGCAAAACCCAATAAATGGCATAGAAGACCACAGGCTCCTGCGACGATCGTGTTTCTACACCTGCAGTATTTTTTAATAGGGTCTAAAAGCACCACAGAAACACCCGGATAGAAGCTCTGTCATTTCTCACCCTTTCTGGTTGGTTTGATCTCATTACCGCCACTTTCGAAATGGTGTTTTTGAGGAGGTGCTGGTGGGTCAGATCCTATTGTGCTATGTGAGGAGACAGCGGGAATCCCTGGGAAGAGGGTTTCTGCTCCATCTTACAGCCTGTTGGATTCTTTCTCGGGGTATGTAACTGTTCCTGTTTTACACGTGTCACTCTTAGGCTGGGCCCCCGAACACGGCGTCTCCGAATGGGTGTTTTCTCCTGTAAGCATCAGTCACTAAGGACTTATTTCAAGTAAGTCAGGTCGGGATTTCTCGTGCAGAAATAAAGATGGGGTTGGGAGGACGAGATGAGAGTTAGCCGCTAGTGTTCCCTGTTCCCCGCCAGTCACCTTCCAGCTTCTTAAAGTCGAGATAACAAATGTGAGCCCCACAGCAAAGAGATGAGTGAATAAATGAATAAAAATAAAGAAGGCCTTCAGATCTTAGTGGAAAAGGAGCACTCTCTACATCAGCAATAATTCCGGTTCTCTTGAGAAGTGTGGGGACCTGTCGGGGCTAACGAGGAAGTCAGAACCTGCACTCGGGGTCCTCGGAGGACTGCCGCATTTTCCCTCCGTGTCTACACTGCTTTGCACCCCTGGGCTCGGATGGCAGGATTCAGCGAGTGGGGATCAACAGCATATCTGCAACCAAATAAGGAGCCTACACAAACATTCTGGAACGCAGCTCTGACCATTTCACATTTGAATGTGTACTGGAGAGGCAGGGGCGCAGGCAGCGGAGAACACAGCTTGATTCATGCAGCAGAGGGCTGGGCCCACGAGAGCCACACAGCCCTGGCCCCGGCTCCCGCTGTCACTCACGCTCCCTGAGGGGCACCCCAGGCCTCAGGGGCCCCCACAGACTCTGGACTTGGAGAAGTGTATCACTTCAATTAAAAGAGTAATTAAGGAGGGAGGAGGGGACGGGTATTGGCATACACAAAGAGTGCAATGCGCACCACCCGAAGGATGGACATATTTGAAACTCGGACTTGGGGGGGGAGGGGGGGCAAGGGCAACATATATAACCTAAACATCTGTACCCCCATAATATGCTGAAATAAAAAAAAAAAAAAAAAAAAGAGAAAAAAAAGAGTAATTAATAAATTAGTTTGGGAATGTTGTTGAGCTTTAGAAAGGAAGGAGACTGTGACACATGCCACAACACGGACGAGCACAGTGTGCTCCGTGAAACAAGCCTGTCGCTAGGGGACAAGTGCGTGTGATTCTGCGTGCGTGGGGTCCCCAGAGGGGTCCAATTCACGGAGACAGAAAGAACGGTGGTCGCCAGGGGCTGGGGGACGGGGAAGGGGGAGTCAGTGTTTAACGAGGACAGAGTTTCGGTTTTGGAGATGGGTGGTGGCGATGGCTCACAAGAATGTGAATGTGCCTAAGGCCACCAAGCTGGGCATTTAAAAGTAGTTGAGATGGTAAGTTTTATGTTATGTATATTTTACACTAGAAACAAAGTCAGTTCGTGTATTCGCTCCACAAACGCTTACCGAGGGACCACCTGTGTCAAGTTCTATGCCAGATGCCAGGAGACACAAAGAGGAGCCAGACCCAGCGCCTCCTTCAGAAAATGTCATAAAATTTCTACGAAGGCATCATCCATTTTGAAGTGCCATTTGAATGTTTTCTGTTCTCTAAGATTCCCCTCTGTGATAGCTTTTGCATCTGGTTTCAGAAACCGTTTAACTTTATAATTACTATTCAGCAGTAATAACATGAATGGTGGTAAGTACCACACTCTGAAATAGTGAATCCTCTCACGTGTGATCCCTTCCCAGTGAACTGGGCTGAGGGCTGTCACTGTTAGGCTCACAGAAGTGCATTAAAGCCCCTCATTTCTCACAGAACAGGAGTCTGCCTGCTGCCCTGTGCCAGCGTGGGATGCAGGGAGGGGCCGGGTGGTGGGAAGGGGAGGGAGGGGAGAGAGAGGAACTGCGTTTAATGACGAGTCCAACAGGAAAATCAATAGGTGCTGTCCACTGACTATCAATTAAGGCACAATTAAGGCCTCTGGGTTCTGGTTGTGACGAGCCTGCTGGCAGTTTGGTGGGAACACTCCAAATAAACAACAGTTCTCGACAACGTGTCCCTTCTAATGACTCAGGAGTGTGTTTTCAAATGAGGTGCAAATGAGGGCTTTGCTTTGCATGTGGAGACAACAGAGGAGAAATCAAACCGCTGGCGAGACCCAAGTAGGTGGGAAACAAAGGAGCAAGACTGTCCCAAACCAGCACCTGCAGCTGTTTCTGGAAAATGCGTGAAAGGCACTTGGTTATTTACCAACTTACTGTGGGGTAGGGGTGGGAGCAGAACACAGTGTACTTCCGGATGATGCCGTTCAGCTTGAGCGGGGGCAGCCAGGACACGAAGACCATGGAGGCAGAGGCCGCGGCTGCCTTGACGCCCGCGGGAGGACCTGGAACTGGAAGAGCCGCGGGTTCAGTCACAGAGGGGAGGCCCACGGCACGTGGCCACGCTCCCCAGCACCGCCCCACTCCCGCGCCGCTGGTCGGCTCTGCAAGGAGCAGCATGGTGTGCTCCGTTGTGTCCCCCAAATCCATATGTCTGAGTCCTAACCCCCAGCACCTCAGAATGTGACCTTGTTTGGAGATAGGGGCTTTACAGAGGGGCAATAGAGTCAAAAGGAGGTCATTAGGGTGGCCCTAATCCAGTACAACTGGTGTCCTCATAAAAAGGGGCAGTTTGGAGACAGACAGATATGCATGGAGGGAAGATGACATGGATGTGGAGACACAGTGACAAGACAGACATTGACAAGCCAACGGGAGGAGCCTGGGACAGACCCTTCCCTCTGAGCCCTCTGGAGGAACCAACCCTGCAGACACCTTGATGTTGGACTTCTGGCCTCCAGGACTCTGAGACGATAAGTACATTTCTGGTGTTGCTGTCACCCAGTCTGTGGCACCTTGGTAGGGTGGCCCTAAGAACTAAGACACTCAGGTCCAGTCCCAGATTTCCTGGGAGCGTTCCTACCCATCTGAGTCCCTGGTGACACCCTGCCTCTGAACACCTGGAGAGTTTCTCTGCTGGGTCACTCTTACTGCTGCGACAGTTTTTGGCTTTGAATGAACTGGGGACAGCCAGAGAGGCACGAGAGCCATCGGAGACCCCACCCTCCCCAACACTTTGGAACAGCACCTCTCTGGGCTCAGGAGAGGCATGGAATGTGGTTAACGAGTATGGACTTTTGTGCCAGGGATTCTAAGTCCGTGTATCTGACAAACTCGCCCCTGTAAACCATATGGGAAAGCGGAGCACCACAGTAACGATGTTAAGCATCATTTGGGAGTGAGAGTGAATGCACGTCCCCCTCCTCCCATTCTTTTGTTTTTAGGTTGAAGTGGGTGGATGGAAAAAAGGTGGGTAAGACCCAGAGGAGGAGAGAATGTCAGACCTTCCACCAAGGGAAGGCTCATGGCTCTCGCTTTGCTCCTGCCTGGTCTAACTGTCCACATGGAGGGCGGCTCCCACCTTGATGGAGGCCTTGAAATTCAAACCCATGTAAGTCCCTTGTGAGCCCCTGAAGAAGTCTGTGAGTGTCTCACTACTCTGATGACAAGGGCAGTGCTCAATAAATAGTTTTGGAGTTGAATGTGTATCTCACAACTGTCACCTTGACTCTTCAAAGTGTAAACAAGACCAACAACTCTGCAGAGAACTGACTCGGGTTAGTGGTCACTACCACCAAGAAGGCACATGGAAAAAAATCAAGGCACAGTCTTGCTTTCCGTTAGCAAATAGATTGCTGGCAAATGCTCTTACTCTACTTTCAAGAAATGCTGGAAATCGCAGACAATACAAGATGAACACAGTTCGTGGGACGAAAGATGGCACAGAGCTCTACTCCCTTCACAATCACTATTTGAAATATACAGTCTCGGTATCAGTGTTTGAAAAGTCCCACCGACAACAGAATGGCTAAAAAAGGGAACACATAAAAGCGACAAAGCCTGGGTTACCAAAGCATCTACTTTTGGTCAAGACCACTGAGAAGAATGCGACACATGGAAAAAATCAAGACACAGTCTTGATTTTTATTATCAAACAGATTGTTGGCAAATGCTCTTACTCTACTTTCAAGAAATGCTGGAAATTGCAGATGATTCAAGATAAATACAATTCATGGAATAAAAGATGGCACAGAACTCTACTCTTTTCACCCCAAAGCTAACAGAATGATCCTGGATCATTTGAATTGAGAATGATCAGAGAATAAATACATATTTATGTTTTTTAGTTAAAATACAACATTTAAGGTATGTCTTGGTCGCTGTAGAGTTCAGCGAGTCCTTGCTGTAATGATATTTCCTGTTAACATGTCTGCATCACATCTGATGGAGGGGTCTTTATTGATGGCACTGTCTAAACCCCCATTGGCTCCTCACACACAGATTTGTGATCTACCTTGTGCAATCTTTCTTTGTGTGATTACTAGAATTTTGTATAATTAATAATAGAGAAACTTTGAGGAAATAGCTATTCTGGAACAGTTTTCTGGATTATGGAACCTATCATGTCAAAGCTAGAATTTAAAACTTTAGTTCTGGTTTGGATTACGCCATAATGGTTAAAGGTCTGAGCCCTGGAGCCTCACCCCTGGTGTTTGCCAGCTCTGCCACTGAGTTCTATATCCTGGGTGAGTTAATTAACTTCTCTAATAAAACTTAGTTTCCTCATCTATAAAAAGCCGGAACAATAATTGTACTTACTTAAGGTTTTTTTTGTTAGGATCATAAAAGATAATTCATGAAATAATTTGGGGCTCTGTATACAGTAAGCACTAAATGAATTCTAGCTGTCATCTCTAATAACCATCATTATCTCTTCAGATTATAAAAGATGCAGTCTTTGTGACTCAACATTGGATGATAAGCACCAGATACTGAGAGTTGCAGAAGACAGAGATGGCACAGGATGGTCTGCCTGGGATGGATTTTCTTGAAACATTCCTAGTGATCACATTACATTTTGGCAATCTGCTTTTTTCTTACGAAGATCAAGGCAAGTTTGGGCAGTTTTCATGAATTCCATTGTGGAGTGAATTTCTGACTCCGAGTCTAACTGATTGCAGTAAAGAGTGTAGCCTCCAGAGAACTCTGCCTTCTACATCCCCCCAGTCTGCCTAGACCCCCCTTCTGAGCTGCAGATGCTCTTATATGTCCAATTGCCTCAAAAACCTCCATGAAGTGTCTCACAGGCACCTTAGACTGATTGTGTCCACAGACAGCTCACCATCTTCTGTCCCAAACCTGCCTGCCCCCACCTCAAGAAGTGTCCCAGCCATCTTCTCAGTTGAAAGAGCCAGAATCTAGAATTCTCTCCCCACTGACATTTGGGGATCCCTTTAGAGCTCTGCATGGACATGTCTGGTCAGCCATTGGGCTCTCTCCTTGGTTTGGTGTTGCTCCCAACGCTGGGCTCCTTTTAAGGTCCCTGAGAGTGGTCTGCTTCTACCATGCAGGCCGTTTGAACATGATGATCTAGAGCCTTGGGATCCCTCTGTCTGGAATATTTTCCCACCCTCCACCTTTCTCCTGGCAATTCTCACATCCCTCAGGTTCTACTAAATATCACTTCCTCCAGGAAGTCTTTGATCACCAGCCTAGATTAGGTGAAGGCTCCCGTGTTCTCTCTCAAGACTTCTCTGTCATTGTACTTGTCATAATCTACTCAGGAGTAATTTGTCAGTGTCTGTCTCCCCCACCAGCCTGCAAGCCTGCCATGCCCATCCTGTTCTCTGCCGTGTCTTCAGGGCCTGGGCCAGGGTCTGGAATATACTGGATCTTCAATACGGATTTTCTGAATGAGTGGGCAAATGATTCCATTAGCTACAGTGTGGTAGGCAGAGTTCTAAGATGGTACCCAACATCCTCACCCTGTGGTGTGCATACCTGGGTAATTCCTTCCCCTTGAGTGGGGGCAGTGCCCATTACTATCATGGATGGATCACCCATGATCTGGTCACATGATATGGCAAAGATGAAGGGAATCTGCAGATATAGTTAAGGTCCCATTCACTTGACTTTAAGTTAATGGAAAGGATGGTTTCCTGGGTGGGCCTGATTTAACCTGACGAGCCCCTTAAAGGAGCTGGAGGTCAGAGACAGAAGAAGTCAGAGAGAGACTAGAAGCTGTAGAGACACTCTCCCATTGGCTACGCTGTGGAGGAGTCACATGACACGAACGGTGGGCCACCCTGGGAGCTGATGACTTCAGCCCCACTACCACAAAATCAATCCCAGCCATCACCAGGGAGCTTGGGAGAGGACCCCAACCCCAGATGAAACCACAGCCCCAGTCTACACCCTAATTTCCCCTGTGGGGCCCTGGGCAGGGGGCCCAGCTGAGCCAGACCTGAACTCCTGACCATGGTGAGATAACACATTGGTATTGTTGTAAGGTGCTAAAGTTGTGGTAATTTGTTACACAGCATAGAAAATTAATACGAGCAGGTGAGCCCTCTAATAACGTATCTTAATATAAAACACCAAAGTCAGTGTTCTGAAAAAGTATTGCTTTGGTTTGAGGTATGGCAGTCATACAGCAGTCTGAACACCCACAAGGCACTGCAGGCAGCTCTGTGTTTTCATCATTGCTTTTCTGGTTTTGGTGATGAGCCATAGGCAGGGGTGTGTGTACACGTAGTCACCACGGTAACCACGTCCATCTGAGCCCAAAATTCCACAGTGGCCTCTACACAGATGCCACTATCTTGGAGGGACACATCCACATTCACAGCTGTCATCTCGCCAAGCAATGCACATAATCCCTTGTGAAAGCAAACTTTTTGTCTTTATTAATTATAAAATTTCCCTTCTTGGGATGACCAGTGACCTAATAACATAATTTAAACCTTTAGGCTCCTTTGGGGTTAGAAAGACTAGTATAAGAAATGTGTCCAGCACAGAGGACTGAAATCAAATGTTTGTTGTTCATGTATTAATCATTCTTTACTTGCAAGAACATTGATAAACACCAAAACTTCAGCCTATGCCTACAATCGTGCCTTACTAAGGAAGAACTTAATAAGCGTTGGCAATTGTCATTTTATTAATACTAGAAATCCATCCATATTTTTATAGTTTCATTGAAATTGGCAGTGTAACCCAAATTTCAAAATTACAAAGCTTCTAGAAGTATAAGGAGGATCTGTGGTCTTAATTTGATTAAGCATTTCTTCTCTGATGATTAGCCTTTGTCCCTTCTTTCAACCAGATAAAAAATTGCGTTTAATTCTATAAACTGCTCAAAGGCCTATTTATATTAGCTATTGAGTCTACAAAAGTGGCTCGCACAGTTCCTCACCATTTCTAAATCAGCAAACTTTTCCTGTGAATCTTGGAGATAAACTCACTATTACACTGTTTTTTCTCTTCTTCCACCCAATCTCTGCTCCACTTCTTTTTGAAAATGCCAATTTGTTCTAAATAAATGTTGACACTCAATTCTGCATGCTCTTTGTTGCATGCCACCGACATGAGTGGAATTCATCACCCCCTCTCTGGGGTGACTGGCGCACCCAAGGCACAGTCTTTCACGATCGAGCATATCTCCGTACGTTATCAGCACTGGATACAAAAGCAGAGACTAATTCCTTGACAAATTAGACTTTGGGCCTTGAGGTCAGGTTTGACATAGAACTCTATGATTTCTAATGCTGGAGGATTAATTAAAAATTGATCCCAAATCGCCAATGAATAAGGAGCTGTGGAGAGCCTTCCCTTCCTATAGGATTTCTGTACATCCTTCTGAAAAATGCAAATGTAAAAATTTTTGTTGCTGATCAATTTGCTCTTTAAATAATGATTCCAGTGACATTTGCATTATTGCTTAGCAAAGCAAAAGGATATCCCACCCCCGCTCTGAAGGAGTGGAGAGCAAATAATCAAACATCGAGTGCCAGGTGGACTTGCACTACGTGTCAAGCTAGGTGTGTTCACACGTCACTTCAGCTTTCACACGTTGACTCTGTGCAGTCTGGTTGTTATGGTAACTTAGAAGAAGAGGACAGTCCAGCTCGGAGATTAGGTAAGGTGCCCAAAGTCCCACAGGCAGCAGGTGACAGAGCCAGCATTTACACAGCTCTTTTGTCTATTACATTTTAAAAAATTAAATTATGGCTGTTTTCACTTAGGACCTAGCTCTGTGGATATCTCTATTGATGTATGACTTTCTAATGACATTACATTTTGACCTTAGATTTCCCTAAATAATTCAATTTCTTTGAGCAGAACTGGCTGACACCTGCACATTCCCAGGAAGAACTACCTGCGTGTTCCAGAAAAACTAAGGCAAATGAGGATGGATTTGTGTGCGGACACTATAACACACAAAGGGCCACGGAGGTGGTGAAAATGGGATGGATGGGACTGCTCCAGGCGGCAGGGCCTTGCTCTCCAAGGTGAGAGCAGAGATGGGGGTGGAAGCTGTGGACAAGCTCTGATTCAGGGGTCGGAAGGGCTGAGGAGCCTCTCCTGGCCTCTGAGCATGTGTCCTCAGCTTTGCTTCCACAGGACAGACATGGGATGGAACCACAGCATCTTTGATCCTGCAGTCATGGAGGAGGGGCGCAGACATCACACATGCCAACACTTGGGAGATAACGAGCAATGGGAAGAGCTCTCCCGCCCCGTGCTGCCTGGAGTCCTGGGGAACAGAGCCCTAGCAAGCTGCAGAGGCGAGTCGGCACGGCGTTTAGGTGTACCGGTGTCTCATCCACCGCTATCTCTGCTGTGCTGGCACATTTTAGCAAGGTTCTACAGAGGGATCAATTTGACGTCAGTTGCTCCTTCTTTTATTAAGGTACATGGAGGCTACTTTTCTCATTACTACTATACTATTTATTAGGACTTAAACTATTCCTCAAATAGGCTTAGATAAGACCCCTCAGGGTTTCTCTTAAAATAATACAGAAACTTTGCTGTCTGGATTTTGTAAGTTTGGGCAATAGTTACATAACCAGATCCAAACTGTATGAGACAACAAGAATTAATGGTCTGAAACCATGAGCAGTGATTTAAAATTTTACTAAATTATCATGAATTCTTATAAGAATTTTTTAAAAAGTAACATAAAGCTCTCAAATCAAGGACTTAACTCTCATGTGATTCAATTGGCACAGAATCATAGGACTCAGACTAGTAATATTTTCAAGTGGAAAGATGGATTTAATCAGAGCTTACACTAGTAGCTAAAGAGCCACTAAAATTATTCTAACAGGATACAAAACAGGTATGGCAAGTATTGCAGCTCTGGGATGAAAAACAAAGGAAAAAAGAAAGAAGAAGAAAAATTACAGGGGAAGCAGAAAACGATGGATTGGGTACAGAAACAAAAGCAACATAGGGAGTTGACGGTCTGAACTGCACTGGAATATTTTGGGAGGGCAGCAAAGGTTAGCCCAAGCAAAGCCAAGAATAGCCTGATGAACTAAAGCTGCAAGGTGCTCTCTGACCCAGCCTTTCTGTGACTGTGTCGTCCCAAGGATGCGGGCAGGAGCCTGTGTGTCCCTTGGTGTTTAAGGCGGGAGCAGAGCTTTCCCCCCACCCGCCGCCATGTCTCACCATCCTCTTTGGTCCGGGTGAAGATCTGCTCACTCCTGACTCCGTCTCCCGCGCGGGTAAAGGCCAACACCTGGATGCTGTAGTTGGTGTATTTTTCCAGCCCGTCCAGCTCCAGGGAAGGCTGCGTGGTGGTGACGTTTTTAATCTCGCCCAGCTCTGGAGGACAAGCACAGGAAAACACGACCCCATTACCGAGCCTGTCGATGCTCGAGTTCCCACACCGTCCTAGCTGGCGGGCACTGCGCCATCATCTGTCAGACACTGGAGTTACTATTAATAGACAGGACTGTGCACAGTTATCGTGAGATACTGACACTATGCGGCCATTTGGACAAGATCACTCACGCCAAACTGCCCAGAACACCAGGCAGAACACCGGTGTGGAAAATAGCAATTCTTCCCAAGTTAAGTGTTATAAACCCAATGCCAACACCACGGCCACCACCCAGGGAAAGCCCTCCGCGGCTGGTAACATGGCACACCCCTCGCGCCCAACACCGGCAAGCTTAGGACCACATGCTGCGCACTCTGTAGATCCATTCTGTTTATTACTAAGCTTCTGCAAGTCAGTCTTTTTTTTAGCTAACTATAACATACTTGTATTTTTAAGTACCTAACTTGGTGTCGAATATCTGAACTAAGATCCACCCTCTTAGCAAATTTCAAGTATAGAAAATAGTATTGTTAACTGTAGTCATCACTTTGTACATTAGATCTTCAGAACTTACTCATCTTGCATAACTGAAACTTTGTATCCTTCGGGGGAACTATGCGAGGGGAGGGGTATGTTAACCAGCTTGACTGTGGTGGCTGTTTCACAGCAGATACACCTGTCCAAACAAGGTGCACACCTTAAATATGTACAATTTTAATTTGTCAATTATACCTCAGTGAAGCTGGGAAAATAAAACATTTAAAGTAGAATAAAATGCATCTGTGCTAAGCCGCGTGGCTGAGCAAATTCCTCTTTTTACCTGGAGTGAACTCCTCCCGGCGTCACTGCTGAAGTGACATGCCGATGTGTCAGAAACGTGGCGTTAGCTAAAAATGCTTCACTTTCCGGAGTGGGATCAGCTAATGATATTCAAAGATGGAACATTATGCACTCTCATCTTTGTCATATTATACATGGCAATTTGAGAAAACTTACAAATGATGTGTTAAGTACCTCCATGGGGGTTTGGCGGTGGGTTTGAGATGAGTCACCTACAGAGCCAGAGAGGAAGCCTGGGAACTGTCGCCTGCGGGAAAGGGCTGTCAGCAGAAAGCCTGGTACCCCAAGCATGCTAGTTACCCCAAGAACATGCGAGGCTGAGGGCTGGGGGGCTCCCTGTAGAGCAGCGGGCTGCAGTACAGGCCACCTCTGGAACATGCAGAGAGCAATGGGGCTGTCTGTCAGTGTCTCTAGCTCTCTGCTGTCTCTTGCCTTAGCAAAGGTAGCTGACGTGCCATGTTTGCATACAGAACTCAAGAGCTTTTCGGATTTAGAAACTTCTACATTGTATGTCAAAGATCACACATACACACACGTGCACACATGCACACACACACACAATCAGGGGAAATGCAGCTGAGGGGAGGGCCCCACAGGGACAGTGTGCCCGGAGCTGGCAGTGAGAGCTCGACTAAGTTCTGTTTCCTCATCTCTAAGAAGGGCACAGAGAAAGTGTGACCCTGTTACAATGCAGGTGACAGCTGTGCCCACCCGGCGATGCCGTTCGGAATCAGACACATAGAGGAGGATGAGGCTGGTGGAGAGGGACAGGGCAATGTGGTGCTCCCCAATGGTCATGAAGACAGCCACGATGGGAGCAAAAGAATTGAATCTCTGGATGAATTGATACACTAATTAGAACTAACATTTGCATGTTTACCCATTTGGGGGGGTTGTATCATTTCGAGTAACTAATTTGTCAGGAACCGTGAATGGCGTTGCAGCCAAGACCCCAATTCAAAGTTATCCCCCAAAGATTTCCAAAACCACCTGAGGGCCAGAACCAGACCATTCCACACCAACACCTCAGCGTCTCTGAAGGAAGAGTATTTCCCTGACCACAGATACTGGGCGATTAGCAGATGTAGGAGAAATAAAAGGAAAATGATGAAAAAAGCTGAATACAAAACCGTGGGCTTCATTTGCCATTCTTTTTAGCTCTTTTTTTCCTCTATGGTTTAAACATAGATTTCTATGGTCTAGCTTGGGCTGTTTAAATATATACATATATGTAATTAAAGTGTAGTGTTCAGTTGAGGTCATGAGTAAAATAAAATGAAACAAATATATAAAAATA